AAAAGAAATGGTTTAATTTACAGCGAAATCACAGCTTAACCACCTGTTTTTTCCCATTGGTACCCTCCTACTATTTACGGAATAGCGAGGCACACCATTGAGTGAAAGCACTAAATCACGATGCCCTATTACTGTGCCAGATGGGAAAGTCACCTTCACCAATCCAAATGACCTGAAGTTGAGGGAAATTTACTATTATTTTGTTATCGCTCGATTATTGTTTTTCCAGACTTTTTCTTTTGCCTTTGACAAGATAATTGCGAGGCTAGAACGAAATTTAATTTACGGAAAAATAACACTTATAAAGAAAGTTATTTTCTCGCAGCTTATCTTAATTGGCTAACTATCTGGGTTTTTGTTTTCCCCTTTTTTAAATTGAAGTTGTCATATAGATTGTACAAGCATTTCCGTGTTTTTCTTAATTTGTAAAACAGATTTAAAACCTGATAGAAGTTAAATGTTACTATGCTCTTGAGTGCTTTGTTCTGATTTGTGCTCCGATGTAACAAATATATTTAATTGCTGTAGCTTGATCTTAGAGCTTTTCTCTTAATTAACTTTTAATGCCAGTAAATACAATGTTCAATGTATTATCTGATAAATCGGTAGAAGAAAGTTTATGGTTTGTAACAAATGTTTCCTCTTCACCCTGTTGATGTAGATTTCCTTCAATAAAAATATTTATTTAATCCTTATGCAAAAGTGCAAGTTATAATTTGTGAGTAACTTGTATATAACTTTCGAAATTACATTGAAACATTTATATCAATACAGTTAAAATCAAATGTTTGGATATGACTAGCAATAACAAGTACTTATAATATTACACATCAACATCAAACATATCGAAATTATATAATTTTTACAGCTGTAGTAAATAAAGTATTTCAAAAGGTGCAAACATGAGATTTTAATAGGATAAGAAAAGTTAACTCAAACTTTAGTGGCAGAACAGTTCGGTGAGGGGCTTAGTGCCTAAATTGGGAAAACTAATTTGGGAAAGTAAATATATTCCTGTGAAGAAAATCTACAATGCGTAACAGATAAACGGCTAATTTCTTCTACTATGAAATGACAAAATATTTAGAAGCTCAAAACCGCAAAACCAAATATGTCCAAAATAGAATGCGCTATTGCCGAAGGATCTATCACGAAATGAGTTGATGAAAATCAAAAACAGGTTGATGTGTGCTGTAAACTGGCTGGGAAGGCTCCAAAGCGATTAGGAATACGTAATGAGGAAACTTTTGATTGAAGTCGATTGAATGCAATGGTTTTTGAGTTAGATAATTTTAACTTTAACTCTGGAGTTTTATGTGGGTATATCGAACAAGTAAATACAAATATAAAATTTTCAGTTCAATTTCTAGGTCAACAAAGCTGAAAGTTTATTTTAATTACTTTTATTAGTTCGATTTTCGTACTTTTAATATAAAAGGCGTTTATACAGAAAAAATCACAATATATGACAAAAAGAAAGCGATTTTTCATTTTTCCTTTCATATATGGTGTTGGACTTTTGTTGTTGCTCTATTTATTCGAGTAAACAAAAATTTTGTTCTAATAGAATAGTATGATGAAAAGAAATACATTCCTCAGAAATTAGTCCATCCCAGGTGGGATTTGAATCCAATGACCTTTTGGATTAAAAGTTCAACGCTCATCTATTGTTCTCATGCACAAAAGAACAACCTTTCTATATAGGGTGTTGACTATTATTTATTTGTTACTATATAGTCATACAATTCCCAAGTATTAGTCAGCACCGTCCATATATTTATTTATTTATATTTGTATATTTATTTATTTATCTTGGTGGAATTTTCAATCGTTATTGAAAATACATTTAAAAGGAAATGAATTGAGCTGAAATTTATATGCAGGATCATTTTTGGATGACAAATGCTAATAATTTTCTATCAGAATTAACAAAGTCCATAATTTATTAAAGTCCACTATTTTAAGAATTCAAAATACAGCCAATGTTGGCGACGTAACGATCATTTTGGCGACTTGACAAAACTCTCGCGAAAAGCTTTTTTCTCACGTGTTAAAGCATTCAGATGGACTGAAATTTAAAAGGACACATGATAATTTTTAATGAAAATTAAAAAACCACTCACCACTTAATGTTGTTATTTTGTTCCCATGTATATGTATTATTATTTATATTAATTGTAACTATTTAATAGTAGCTAAAATAAAATTTTTCGTTGTTGATCTAAGTAGGAATTAATTTTAAAAACTATTTTTTATATTACTTGTTTTGAAATTTACCTAATAGAATTAATATTTGATAAAACTGTATTAAAAACGTATAGTCCTCCACTACAAGTTTAAAAAAAATGTATTTGAACTTAAATGAATGAATAGAAAAATATTTTTAGCCATTAAATGAAAATTTGAATTAAGATATATATAAATATGTGTATATATATATAGGAGAGAATGAACTAATAGGTAGAGAGAGAGGATTTGAAAAAGCAAAGTTGTTTAAAATTAAAGGTTCTATTTATATATGAGCAAAAGCTGTTGAAATTCATATACTCCTGCTTAAAAAAGATAGCAACAACAATAAAAACTCATATAAAAAAAGGACTACGGTAAAACAGGTTCCTACTTGTATATGCAACTGATGCTACTTCTTTGGGAGCATTAACAACAAATTAAAGTCGTCATTATTATAAATATACCATTAAATTCCTGACCTAGAAATAATAAAATTGGGAATCCATTCAGGGAAGTTCGAAATTGCTAGTAGTTCTGTTTTTGCTGCGTCCTCGAACGGTCAAGAAAAGGAAAATAGTGAGATTTATGCATTAAGAAAAAATCCAATTATCTGCTGCTGTATGAACCAAAACGGAAAAGATGAAAGTGCGGAACTTCATTTGATGGACATTATCCTGCACACACATAGCACTTGAGTCCTTTTCGTCGCGCCTGAGAAGAGCAGAAAACTTCGTTACATCAATTACAGCGACGGCCAGCCATGCCCAGAAGAAGAAGTCCCTCGGTCCACTAGAGATGGAGAGGGATGACGGATGACCACGGTCCGAGAAACCTATTTTGGGACGGCGATCTGGTAAATTTCCCATTAGCTGCTTCCCCGTCCAGTTCTCTGTCGCATAGTAATTGCGTAAGTAGCTCACTTACTTGTCCATCCTAAATGGTCGAAGCAGCTGTTATTAAAAGCTGCTCAACATAAGTATTCGAAAGGCAAATGTACTTTTTCTTTGAAGTATATGAAAAGATTAAATAAATACATACAAAAAATAATTATTTGTTTTTTGAAAGGATTACATATATATTTATATATAAAAAAGCGTGGTAACTAAATTATTTCGCGTTTCAAGAACATTGTATTAATTCCTTAGTGCAATATACAAAAACAACATAAAAAATACCACTGAATTATTTTTTATGAAACCTTCAATTTCAGGATCTTGATTTGTTTGGGGGTAAATAATAAAATGATAAAATCTATTAACTTGTAGAAACTAATAAAAATATTGAAAGCGATTTATATAGGAAAATAACTGTAGAGTGGAAAAAATAGCTATATTTATTTACTTATGAAGAAATATCGTATTATTGTAAATAAAATACTTAATCAGCAAAATACAACAGGGTAATGGGATTAAGATTTATAAAGGAAGCCATCAAGTTTTCATTTGAAAATAGTTTCAAAATTGAATTAATAAAACGTAAGAGCTTCAGAATATGGCAGACATTTTTCGTAAATATGAATTCGATATAAAAGTAAAAGTTGCGAGTTACAAATTACACTTGAATAAAACAATATTGTATTACACACACACACATACACACATTAATATCACACAATAATAATAATGACACACACACACATATATATATATATATATATATAGATATATATATATATATATATATGTATATATATATATTCATTGATGTATTTATGACCTGAAGTAAGTTTATGAAACATCGAAACTTTTAGTTATTCTTATTGAAGACTATACAAGTCTATTTGTGTTCGCACAAATTGATTTGTTAATCTTTAAATTAAGTGACTCACATGAAAAATGGGTGACATGCGAATTGATACTACTAATGGTCCAAACGTCTGCGACAGTAAAGGATAAATTTGCTGACGAAGTATAAAATATTACTAAGATCAATGCAGATGAAAAGAAGTATTTAAATGTGAGCTTCCATCTATTGTATTTCCCACATTGTAATCTATTAATACATAGAAAATATTCTCGAGTATTTGTTTTGAGTTGAATCGGTACTGAAACATACGCATAAGCGACCGACTATCTTGCTTGAATTGATTATGTATTATGCTAAGCACTACTAATTGATTGTTTTTTCTAAATTTGATGCATAAAAATGAAACGATTTTAAATGAACCACATTTTTAGTTAAACCAATCAATTGGTACTATATATGTATGGGGCTGTATGTAATTATGGTATTTATGTTACGTATTGAAAAGTTTCTGAGTAAAGTACCCTAAATTTTACAGACAGATACTAAAATATATATATATAATTACTACTTTTTCCAGAGTAAAATATTCGTTTCAAAACGAACACCATTTCATTTAATTTTTTTTCTCTTACCAGTTTGTGATCTGGTAATTAACTTTGCAGAGAGAGGTTAATTGCACACAAAGCCTGTGTAAACCTAGTAACATGTTTGTAAAGCGTGTTGAACAAAGCATATTTTTAAAAAAAATTAGGTCCATTCCTACTTAGGTCAACAAAGAAAAATTTTATTTTGGTTAGTTTTTATTATATAATTACGAGTAATATAAGTATGCATATACCTATAACAGAATCGCACTATTAAGTGACAAAATAGAAATCAATTTTCCTTTTTCCTTTCTACATAGGGTGTTGAACTATGTGTTGGACTATTTTCTGTTGTTTGTTAATATTTATTCATTAATCGAATTCAATTATTCTAATAAAATATGATAGTAAAAAAAGAAATAGCATTCTCAGGAATTAGGCGATCTCAGGTGGGATTCGGACCCACGTCCTTTGGATTATAAGTCCAATGAGTTATCCATTGCGCTACATTGACACAACGAATGATTTTCCTTTCTATATAGGATGTTTGACTATTATTTTTGTTTTTTACTATGTATTCATTTTTTGATTTAAGTAATGGATATATATCTATTAAAAATGTGTTAAACACGCGTCCAGCCAAGTTGTATAAAAATTTGAACTAAATCGATGCACAATAATAAAAATAATAACTTAAATAATAAATGCACAATTTAAAAATCATTCGGGTTTAAATACCTAAAATAGCCTACAGGTTAACATCATAAACATTTCGAAACATCCACTGACATTGCTTACCTTCAGTTCCAAAAAGAAAATGTAAGTTAATGCATATAAACTTATTTTGCAAAAAAATATCTCACAAAATTTCATTGAGGAATGCGCTTTTCAGTTTGCTTTACCGGTACTGAAACTGGATAATTTTCGTGATGCAAATCAAGAGATCGTCACCCCCATACTGCCGACATCACATTAATTGAGAATCGAGTGATCTTTATGGCTCCTCCCAAGAAAACGGCCTTAACCACATTCATCCACGCTTGAATATTCAGAATGTTTCTGTCACCACTTGGAGGAGCCCAGCTTTATTATAAGCATCTTTCACTGAAAAATCGTATAAAATGAAAAGAACAATAACAAAAGAAAAATTTTTGTTCCACTTTAAAACGTGAATACGCTGCTTCGACTCCTTAACGATGTTTCCGAAAACGGAAACATACAAGGATTGAGGTGGAGAATAATCCGGAGGGGTCTTCGGAATAGAACGAAATGCGGGGCGGGATCGTTTTGACAACTACCCCCATTAGTAGTGAGGGTGGACTGAAATTGATCTTCCGGAAATATTTCATGAAACACACAGATGGGAAATTTTCTGCTTAAAAACTCGTGCCTTTATGATCCCTGCAAAAAATGTAGCTGGTATGGGATTTTTGGGCAATCGATTTGTTGAAATGTGATTCCCCAAACAAAATGTCGCCTGATAGTTTCTTCCCTAGTCTTCGAGTTGTAACGATTGAATATGACTGGTGCCGGGCCGTCGTGAGGTGATGTTTAAAACGATTCACCTAAAAAATCACTTTTGAGATGAATTCGCTGAAGATTATAAGCAAAGCGGTCAGCTTGCTTTGGTACTGGCATTTCGTTTGCTAATAAGTGGCTTTATACTGATAGGGAAAATATTGCCTCACAAACTAATGTACGTCAGGAATCATTTGTTTTGGAATATTTCAGTATAAAATCATCGCGGCGTATATATGTATTGCCATTTATGCTTACACATTTTGAAAATAGTTTCAATGATAATTCTAATATCATGATTTTTCAGCATAGATATATTATCATTTTGCAAGCAAGATAATTTGCAAATCCTTAACACTCATTTTTATCCTAATGTACACTGATTTGAATTATTAAGACAAATAGTAACAGCTACTTGGGTTTTTAAATTTTTCTGTAGAAATTAAAATTAAATGATAATGTTATAGTTACTAATATTTACGACAAAAGAGAAGAATTAAATTGATATTACAAAAAAGTAAGTCTTATTGAGGAAAGTAATGTACAGTTTCGTTAGTCTAGAAATATTATTATTAGTTACATAACGTACTTCCTGTTTCAAAAAACCTGCAAAAATAAGAAACTTTAAACATTTTACTATCACTGCTTAGTTCAAAATGCACTGATCAATTTTATTAATAGTTATTTGAAAAATGAAATTTAAATAAAAGAAGGATTTAAATTCCTTTGAATAATAATAGTTGATTATTATAACTTTATCATTTTACCAGATAGATATATAATTACTCCTATATTCTTGATGTTAGATAAAATATTTCTTATTCTCTTAGTTTTTATTTTTAACTGCAATAATATTTTTATAAATATTTTCTAAATACATTTATAATAATTAGTGTCCGTAAGGTACGTATGCATACACTTTTTATTTTGTATTCCTATCATTTTCTATTTTTAAGCTACGTGTTACTATCTTTCAGCCATTCTTATGTTTTGAATTTGTATTTGGGTCCAAATCTAAATAGAGAGGTAGACTCTGTGTTTATTGCACGTAGATTTCAGGGGCGCGTGGCGCTAAGCATTTTAAAATGCAATTTTTTTGGTAAGTTACATTTTTCTCGGTAGCGTAAATTTAGACATTCTATCCATTATTTTTTATAGGTTTTGCCTCAGTATTATTACCGGTGAAAAGCGTAGGAAATAAGTTGGCTGGCCAAAAACCGTTGTTGAACCTCGCTTTTTATAAGAATTATTTATATAAGAACCGTCCTCAGTCGGCTATTTTTTATAAATGCTCAGCATCTACATATATATTTTTTATACTTTTTACATTCCTATTATTCCATAATTTCCAATAGTTCCTTTCTAAAATCTTACGTATGGTTATCTTGCAATCTGATTTTTTCAAATTTGATATAATTATTTCGATTATTAATTTATTTTTTAGTAGAGAATTTTGACTATATATATATAGTTTATGCTACAGTAATATCTCCGGCATTTTTATTAAATACAGTTTTTCAAAACGAAACAAAACACATTTGAATATTTAAGTACAGTCGGACCCTATTTATCGATCTTGTAATTTAATGAATTTTTCTTCTTTCCCTCATGTGTAAAAATTTTAAACGCAAAATCCTCATTTAACGAATCATAAAACCCGATTTAACTGAACTATCCTCATCGAAAATTTTTTAATTATTTGTATTAGAAAATGACTTTTGGGCCAATATTCTTTTAATGTCCAGAACAGAAATCATGATGAAACCACCTTTCTCATTTCAGTGGCAAAGTAAAACCACCGTAATGAAATTTCGGAACAGTAAAAATCATTCTCCCTATTATTATTTCACAATTCATATCCTCTTGACTACATACCTTGGGGAGTCCCTCATGAGTCTAAAAGAGGTTAGAATGTTGGTCTCCTAAAAGCAAAGTCTTTTTTGTGCAGTATGTCCTTCAAATTTTACAAATCAGTGTGTGATTACGTCCCGTCTGGTATTTTTAATCAACGAGTTTAACTATGAAAAATTTTCTAAAAAAGTTACTTATGAAACAGATTGTATTTATTTACTAGTTTTGCTTTAGTAATTTGCATGTGAAGTTATTTCCACAGGAATTAAGATCTATAAAATATTTGCAATCAAGAAAATTAGAATCATTTTTTAATATTTAGAGTAAGCAATATTCAGGTTTTTCCCTCTCAGGGTTTAAATGTTAGCCATGAAATTAATATTTGATGAAGTATGAAAGTTCGATTTTGGTATTCTTAAATGGTGAAGTCATTCATTAAAACATTCCCAACAAACCTAAAAGTCTCCCAGTCACCTGATCAATTTGATAAGATTATTCTTACTTGAACAATTTATACACTTTTCTCATTTTATTGTATGGTGCAATCATTGTAGATCCTGCAGATCTAAAAAGAAAAATACGACCAACAACAGCCAAAAAAATTCCAAGAAATATCAAACTTGTTGCACACACGTACAAGTGATTTCATCCATATATGTACCCAGTCTGGTTTTCCAATGGGTGTGTTTTGTTATTTGCCTTTACTATGTTTTATTCAGTGAGCATATGGTTCGTGAAAAATATTTGAATAAAACATTTAATACACATTCTTTTGAAACAAACGCTCTTTTCTTTGCCTTTACTCAGAGATTAAGATGCAAAACTGTATAATACATACTACCATGTAACCAACATTTTTAAAATACAAAACAGCATATTACATTAAGGAATTTAAGAAATTGAAGCAATTTTGTAACTTTTAAATGTAAAATGTCATTTAGGAATAAACAGCGTACATAATGTCATTATTTTCTTTTATATGTAAACATGCTCTTGTTGATCTGTTTGATTTAAAATGGTTTTGGTGAAGAAAGAAAAGAATGCGTGAATTTGAGATTATAAAATATTCAATTTTTTAAATATATATATATATATATTTCTTTTATTACCGCTTTCTAATGTTATTATACAATTAATTATTCGCAGGAAGGGTATTCTTAAAATGAAATAAGATTTACTATGTTTCCTATATACTTGAAATGTCTTCCTAAATTGATACAATGTATATTATTGCCGTAATATGTATACGTTTATAGTGAATTCTTTCAATTCTGAGGGTCAAATTCTAATTTCTTCACAATTTTTATCTTGTACATCTATCATACAAAAATGTTAATTTCATTTTGCTAGTAAACTAAAATACTTAATTGTATTAAACCCTTCGAAAAAGATGTCAAATAAAAACATTAATTACATAAGTTTCAAAAATACATCTTACTTCTTTGTAACCTGCATCGTCCATTATGTATATTCTAAAATGAATTCATTATTACTAATGACACACTATTTTAAGCTTCACTCGAGCAGTTCATACCATATTTCATTCGTTTGATGAAATTGATCGAAGTTTCTTCTGAATTTAGACAAAAGCTTCTTTCTACAACATATTTCCAAGCTTATGTAGCGGAAAATACGTAATTTAATACATTTTCTAGACTAGCCAATAATTATAGCTTTGTTCAGTAGCATTAACATCCACTTTGAAGCTGAAAAAAAAAATGTTCTTAAATTAATTAATACTAATGAGTAGATAAAATATTTTGCACATTATTTATGGGCTATGGCAGAAATAAGATATTTAAGAAAAGTACAAAATGATAAAATATAATCATAATTTTAAAAAATTATAAGCATATGAAATTAAGAAACATTTCTGTAATGTTTGCTGTTATTTTTAGCTGCTGTATGTTTCTGTAAAAATAGTAGCCTTTTGATGTATAAAACTTTGCCAGAATTATAAGTTGGTACTATGTACTCTTTAAACCTCATATTGCATTTTTTAAGTATTATTGTATCTTTTTGTATTTCTGTAATATATTTGAAAAATATTAAATTTTAAACCAGAGTTTTTCCTTATTTTTAAAAACATACTTATTATTCTTATTTTTATAAAAATAGCTTTTAACTTTAAAATCAACTTA